CTGGGACTTAGAGTAGGAAAAGGAGCAATGATTGCCCAAATAGTAGTTTTCACCCTGGAAATGTTGTTAGTACCCTAGCAGACAGTGAGCAGCCATATCCACATAGATTAGAGCAATACTGAATGGAATAGAATGAATGGTGTGAACCTCAGTCCCTTAGGCCTGATACTGGAGACATGGGTCCTATCTGTGTGGAGGAGGCTGCTCTGCTCCCCACAAATCAAAGAGTAACAACAAATACATGTGCTCAAATGCACTTTATGGGTCACAGAGCGACTTCGGAGTTTCTCAAAAATGTCAAAATTGAATAAATGTCTTCTTTCCCTTCCCTTCCCTTCTCTTCTTAAACAATTCAGTCTTTCAAGCTATGCTATGGGACCAAGTAAGGTAGTCACCCATGGAGGGGGTGGAGGAGATATGGTGGCCCAGACGGTGTCAGAGCCTAAACAGGGTGAGGAGGTTAGCCACACAGAAGGGATGCCTAGTACAGGAGTCAGAGTCTGGATGAGCAGAGGAAGGTATCCCTGTGGAGGACAGCCTGGCACAGACCACTGGAGTCCAAGCAAGATGAGGAGGGCAGCTGCATGGGGAAGGGGAAGGGCAAGGGGGCAGGGGTCGTGGTAGCAGTTGGTCACAAACAGGGGACTGATCCAAAGTATCAGGGATGGGGCGCCTGGGTGGCTCAGATGGTTAAGCGTCTGCCTTCGGCTCAGGTCATGATCCCAGGGTCCTGGGATCGAGTCCTGCATCGGGCTCCCCGCTCTGTGGGAAGTCTGCTTCTCCCTCTGCCTCTCTCTCTCTCTCTCATGAATAAGTAAATAAAATCTTTAAAAAAAAAAAGTATTAGGGATGATGGGAGCCAGCTCAGACTAGTGTTAGAGAAAAGACTTACAAATTGTGAAAGGGAGAAACCTGGAATAAACCCAGTGGTGTTAGATTCAAATTGGAAGTGGCAGTGTGAATTTACAATTTTCAGTGCGTATAGGCCAATATGGAAATGCACACAGGGGTCCTAGCTCTGTCCACTGAGACAGTCTGAGAACAGCAACACTTCAATTCACAACAAACACATCTAGCAGTCAGACTTTGGATTCTAAATCTCTACTAAAAGGAACTAGAGCTTCTTGGAGCAATCGCTGATTTTAAGGCTGTAACATCTCATTATACCAGGGAGTCAGGAAGTGCTCAAAGAATGATGGGAACATGTCAGAAGGGCACGTTGAACTCTGGATTAAGAATGAGACATTTAACTTCAAGTACTCTGTAGAACACTTACGCACTAAAAAGGGAAGAAGAGTTAACTTTACAGTGGAGAGCCCTGGCAGATGCAACTATCGTAATCTCAGTGAAGTTTAAAATCACCTGCCACCTGATAGGATGCGATGAGAGGAACACAGCATCATTTCTGTGATGTTGTTTGCCAAGGTTGTAAAACTTGAATCAAAGCACAAGGAGACTCAGACAAACCCAGATTGAGGAACAGTCTGCAGAATAACTGGCCTGTATTTTTTTTTTAACTGTGCCTGATTTTATTCTTTTTTAATTTTATTTTATTATGTTATGTTAATCACCATACATTACCTCATTAGTTTTTGATGTAGTGTTCCATGATTTTTAAAAAGTGTCAGTGTCATGAAAGTGAAGGAAATCCTGAAGAAGATTTGCTCTTGGAGCAGACAAAGAAGATGGTGACAGCTAAATACAATGCTTGATTCTGAAAACTTGAGTTGGTCTGAGGGACAACTTCTGGGAGTGCCTGGGTGGCTCATTCGGTTGGGCATCTGACTCTTGGTTTCGGCTCAGGTTGTGATCTCATGGGTCGTGGGATGGAGCCCTACTTCAGGCTCTGTGCTCAGCGTGGAGTCTGCTTGAGAATCTCTCCCTCTCCCTCTGACCCTCTCCCCGCTCGTGCTTGCATGTGCGTGCGCTCTCTCTCTCAAATAAATAATCTTTTTTAAAAATTATTAACAAAAATGGCAACTGATGAAAAGTTGCTGGGGTCCAAGGATTAGATAATAGGAATGTATCAACATTGATTTCCTGACTTTGTGGTTATGTTAGGAAGGTCCTTGTGTATAGAAAACGCACACTAAAGTTCATGGGGAAGAGGAAGCTTTGTTCTGGCAGCTTAGTCTCAAAGGATTCAGAGAAAATACAGTGCAAAACTCTTCATACTATACTGTATCTGACTTCTCTAGAAGTTTGAGGTTTTTCTAGATACACACATACATACCTCTATTCTACATCTATATCTGTATCTACATCTGCATGTAATGAGCATGTTAGGTTGGAATTATAATGTTTTCCAGACTTTCCAGATCACAGGCACCCAGAGGCTGCTTTGGGTGGACAGAGATTGGAGTGGCTGCTCCAAAAGCAGGATCAGGGTCTGTCTGTACATGGTGGTTCTCTAACGAGGTACAGAAGAGAAGTATTCTCATTCCTCTCATTTAGAGAATAACAGAGATTTCTGAATAACTAGAGACATCTGTAGAGCTGATCATGCTGGCCATTTGACTTATCTGATGATGGGCTCATCAGAACCAAGAAGTAGAAACACTGAGGGCTCCTCTGTCCTCTTAGAAAGTCCATGGGATAACTAAAGGCCAGTTCTTCAGTGTTTATCTGGAATGTGGGTTGGGCAAGGGACTCCACACTCACTTGAGGTTTGGCCCAAAGTGCTAATAATGAAAACCACAGCCTGTTGGGCACCTCCTATGGGCCCGAGACTGGAATATGTGTCCTTTTATGTGTCCTTTTTATCATCGTCACAATGGTTCTCCTTGGTAAGTATTGTCCCCATTTTAGAGATGAGGAAATAGAGATTCAGAGAGGTTTAGTGGCTTGATCATTGTTGTGGGCTGAATTGTATCCTCCCAAATTCACATGTTGAAATCCTAATCGCCAGTATCTCAGACCATGACTGCATTTAGAGATGGAACCTTTAGAGGTTATTAAGTTAAAATAAGACTGTTAGGGTGGGGCCTAATCCAATCCGACAGGTGTCCTTCTAAGAAGAAATTTGAACACACAGAGAGAGACCAGGGATGCATGCCCACAGAGGGACGACCACATGAGGACACAGCAAGAAGATGGCCAAGTGCAAGCCAAGGAGAGTGGTCTAAAAGGAACCAAACCTGCCAACACCTTGATCTTGGACTTCCAGCCTCCAGAACTGTGAGAAAATAAATTTGTTGTGTAAACCACACCTAGGCTGCGGTGTTTTGTTACCGCAGCCCTAGCACATGAAACACTTGTGCTATGTATGTGGTTGAGGATGAAGCTGGGATTCAAAATTACATCTGTGTAGCTCTTTGCACTATCTTATGCTACCTCCCTACACACAAGGCCTCTACTGTGAAACCTCTTCCCGCCTCCCCCAACAGGCTGCCCAGAACACCCACCGAAAACCTCACAGATCCTTCCATCCATGGTCCCAGAGCACTTATTACACCGGAGGATAGTTGGTTACACACAACTAATTTACAATGTTTGATTAAATTGAGAGTAGAGCTCCTCTTATCTGCATTCCTAGTATGTCCCATGGAACCAAGCCCAGGGCAATTACAATAGTATTTACTGAGCACTTCTTATGTACCAGCAAAGGCTTTACATGCATTATCTCATTTAAACCTTAAGACGACTCCATTATTCCCATTTTACATATCAGGAAACTGAGGTCACAAGGGTTAACTGAATTACCCCAGGGCACAGAGCAAGTAGATAGTAAAACCATGATTCAATCTAATTCCCAGAATGTGCTCTTCATGCCCTGCTCTGTTGCCACCATCTTGCTGTAAATGTTCCCTGAGCAAATTCCTACCATGAGGAGTTGTACCAATCTGAAATGCTCTCCCTCAATCAAAGTCCCCCCCTTATGCCAAGCTCAAGTGTGAAGCACATGTCCTGTGGAGAGTCTTCTCACATACGACCTCCGCCCTCAGCCCTGACGCTGTACTCCTTCAGCACTCCTTGGGCACATAGTTTGCACCATGCCCTGACATGTGACCCAGTGCTGGGCACCAAGGATGTAGTTTATCAACATTTGCTGAATTGGATTCAATGCCCAGGGATGAATGTAAACAGTGATAAATAACAAGGTGGCATATAGCACTGGATGCTCTATCTCTGGATTTTCTAGGAGAGTTCCAATTTCTAAAATCCTATCCTCTCATCAGCTCATTTGTCAGAATATGTGGCAGAGAATATTGTCTGGTATTTGGTTTAAAAAGTAGAGTCACTGGGGCACCTGGGTAGCTCAGTCGGTTGAGAGTCTAACTCTTGATTTCAGCTCGGGTCGTGATCTTGGGGTCCTGGGATTGAACCCTGAGTCTGGCTCCGTGCTCAGCAGGGAGTCTCCTTGAGGATTCTCTCTCCCTCTCCCTCTGCCCTCTGCTCATGCTTTCTAAATCAATCAATCAATCAATCAATCAATCAATCAATCTTAAAAAAAAAAAGGTAGAGTCACCATTTTACTGCAAAGAGGCAGGAATAGAGACAGGATGTGCTGTTACTTACCTACCCACATGCTACCAGGCAAGTCAAATTTCTCTGGACCTAAGTCTCTTTGTGAGTAAAATTGCAATGGGGGCAATGCCTATTTCTATGATAGAAATGAAACAAAATATGTGAATGTGTTCTGAATACTGATGAAGAATAATGTTATATAAATCCAGTCACCATTAGTGGATTGTTTTTACTGTCCTGTTTGGCCAGTAAAAAATAAGATAAAAAAGCAGTTTTTATTTTTGAAAGTGAAGGAAGAAGTTTCTCATGAAGACTGGTGCAAAAAAAAAAAAAAAGAAAGAAAGAAAGAAATCAGACATTAAAAGTGTTAATATCCTGAGGGCCTTTCTGGAGTGTCTTTTTCACTTCTATCTTCTAAGTTCTCTTCAACCACTTGGGGTGGGGTGGGTGGTAGGGCTAGTAGTGGGATAGTCAAAAGCAAAGTTTCTCAAATTGCATGAGATGTTACCTGGTGGAGGAACCAGGCCTCTTACCTTTGCTGCATTGTGAATCAGTTCCCAGTTGTGCGAGGCCTCAGCGGACAGTCCGTTTGGGAGCTGAGCTTTTCTGACTCAGTAGTAGCCCAGGGAAATTTTCTCTCTCTTTCCTGTGTCTCCTCTTCCAGACATGCGTGAAAACCATTCGGCCTTGGAGTTACTCAGCTCGCCTCCTGCCCCTTTTTCAAGGCTTTGTAACATGCTGATCCATAAACCTGAGAGCACCCTCTGGGGAGCTTCCGGAAAGAGCAGTCCCCTGCGGAGCAACACTCTAATTAGCATCAGTGACAGATCTGTGCTGGTCTGGATGCGGCTGAGGCTCCCCTGAATTTCCTTCTGCTCTCCCGAAAGCCAGGATCCTTTTGTTCACCTTTAGGCCTGCCAAGTCAGTCCTACCGCACCCCTGGATGTTGTTTTCCTGCAGGCAATGGGAAAATGAGCTCGGAGCCAGGGAAGGGAAATCAACAAGGAAGTAAACACAGGGTCACTGCACCTTCAGGTCATCACTAGGGCTGGGACATCATCATGCTGGGACCAGTTCCTAAATGGGCTACTGCCTGGACAGGCCTCAGAACCCTGGGCATCTTTTTATTTTTAATTATGCAGAGAACATGCACTGAAATTGATATCAGACAAATCAAGCAATCCCAACTTACGTTCCAATGCCTTGCCAAAGCTTTCAAAGATTTTCCATAGGCAGTGTCTCTTGTAACTGAACACTGACTAATGTTTGTAGACAAAGAAGAAAAAAATGAGCACGTTTATGGCGGATACTAGTTCAAACCTTTAACTCTAAAGATACAGGACGATTGTTCAAATAAAGATTTCTTCTACCTACTCTTCAACGCCACGGTCAACAGCGACAGTAGCGGCGTCTTTGCTAACATCCATCGCGTGCTTACGGTCAGCCGGGTCCTGTGCTAATGACCTGACCTGCATCATCTCATTTAATTCTCAACATAATCCTACAGTACTCCCATTGTAGAGATGAAGAAACTGAGGATTAGAGAGCAAAGTGCTCCTGCAAAGCGCTCCAGAGAGTTATAAATGTAAAAACTGCCTTTCTGGAAGCATGATTTTCTGGATCTCGCTTTTCCTACCGATCTGCTTGAACCCTTCTGTGGACTGACATCTCTGGTGATGAGCTTGCTTAAATAAACCCTTAGCCCCAGGGATAGAATTCTAAACAGAAACAGGGAGCATCGGTTAGTTAAGTGGTCTCTCCCTGGGGCTGTGAGTTTGGCACCATCTTTATATAACTTGTGTGTAGGACACATGTAGGCTGGGCACTCTCTCTTCTCTCATCCACAGTGGGTCTGCTGGCTGATGTAGACTTGGCTCTTCACTGGGATTCTGATTTACCAACAAGGAAGTGTCCTACAAATCTCTTGGCTCCTCTGTGTGCTTTGATCATGGTCTGACTGCGAGCTTGTCCTTGTGACTTGAGGAGCCGAACAGTTACGAAGTTCTTTTAATCAATACTCCAATGGATGAATGACAAGAAGTTCACAGCCTGGAAACTTCTGCTTGGTGAGAAAAAAACCAGCACATGTGCTCCCAGTCCTCAGGTCACACTGCAACATGTTTTGGTTTAATTGGCCTCTTTACTTCCAATTGTTACAGTTTGGCTCTCCTGTGCCATGGCGGTTACCCAGGGCAGCTGGCCACCAGTCAAAGGAAAGTAAAACCGTTAATTAGGAGAAAAGGAGATGCCTCCCAGCGGGGTCAAGTTGTCCGTTCTTGTAAATATAGGAGTCGAGACATTAGGACAGTTGCTCACCCTTGTTACCCTTGGATTTGTCTGGGTGGAGCTTTGGGGTGTTTTGCTCTGGGGCCACACAGGCTTTGACACTTGAGGTTGGTCAGCTTTTCGTTCTCAGCAAAGACTAAAGATTTATTTATTGGTGTTATGGCAATAAAGAAAATTGGAAAGGGGCTGGGCCTTCATTTTAGATATCATTTCCTTCATCTTTCCCAGGGGTTTACAACTAAACACGTGTCCAGATATGTTTATAGACTCTGATCTTGGTGTTCTTTGATGAGGAAAGGCAATTTGTAACAGTCAAATGGGCCTTTTCAACCTTATCGTATGAAACAAACAAAAAAATCAAATTGTTGGAAAGGAGCTGATGTAACAGAAGCTTTCATGTTCCTCATCTGTTTGCCAGCTTTTCCCCACCAGGGAATAAAGACAGCAGATTTGGGGACTATCAGAAGCTTGGGGGTTTTCCATTCTGAAAGGTGAAGTAGATGGATTTGATTTCACCTTCCTCTTCTGTGAGCATCTGGATCAGCACTGACTGAATGACTTCCAATCACTAAGTCCATTCTGGGATTAACAATAAACACACATACCTCCAAAACATTTTTTTGCATAGTCATGTAACCAAGGCAGCTCACTGTTTCAAACTGGAAATGGAGAGAAGTCACGGATAAAAAAAAGGACATATTAATTTAGCTTTACAAATGTGCCCTTTCCAAAGCCAGAATTACTCACTCACTGGTAGCTCCCAGTGTGGAGCCCTGGATCTGCTCAAACCCCATGGCTTCAGTGTCCTTTCCATTTTGTGTGGGACATTCCAGCTGAGTGACAGGATCCAACCCAGCAGAAATGTCCAGATGCAGTTAAAATCTTGATCATCATCGGAAGGCAAACATAACTGCACCGTGTGAGGAAAATGGCCCATTTTTAGAGTGTCCCCAGGAAGTGACCTGTCCAGTTATCCACAGACAAAATGTCTTCATTTTTGGTGCGTTTGGAGGCAGGGATATGACATCTGAGAAACGCAAAATTGGAGAGGAACTTTTTCAGTATTCTGTGATGAAGAAGTCAGAACCTGAGCCAGCTTCCCCTCAGGCCTACTTCGCTCTGGCAAGACGGTCAGACTGAACGTGGATTTATTGTAACAGGAGGGAGAAAATGGCTTCTCTGAACCGCTACCGACTGGCTGCTTTCCTTTCCCTCCTCTCGGCACACTCCTCCCCGCCCCCCGACAAGTGGGGGAGGCAGTGAGGAGTCTAAAGCCCCGCACCCCAGAGGCTTTACATGCCCCTCCATGTTTGTTATCTCGGACTCAAACCTCTCTCCTGAGCTTCCCACCGCCTTCTCAGTGCCACGCGCAGGCCTCTCAGATCCACGTGTCCAAAGCCAACTCTTCACCCCTTCTTGTGCCTCCTCCTGCGTCCATCTCAGCAAACGCCCCTTTCTTCCCCCCAAGCGCCCCAGCCTGGGAGTCACCCTTACTCAGCCTGTCCTCCCTTCACATCCAATCCATGAGTGCGTTCTGTCAACACCGTGTCCAGAACTTCTATCAGCGGCCTCCTGTTCGCACTACCACGACTGCAGACCCTCCACGGGCTCTCCCCGGGGTTACTACAGGAATCTCCTAGCCGGCCTCCCTGTTTCCCTTCTCCCTCCAGTTTCTCTACCAAATCTACACTCCACATTCCAACCAGCCTAGACTTTGAAAAATGTAATTCAGATTATGCCATTAGCCTACCTACAGGCCTCAAGGCTTTTCAGTGCACTGAGGGGCAAATACAGAATCCTTACCCCGGCCAGCTAGGTTTGGCATCATTTGGTCCCTGCTCACCTCTCCAGTGTTACCTCAGTGACACTCATTCTTCGGCACACTCCAGCCATACTAGCTTGCTGTCAGTTTCTTGAACATTCCAAGATTTTCTCCATCTCACAGCTTTGCTGTTTCTGGACTGGCTAGTACTGACCTACAGTCTTCCCCTGCCACCCCGTCCCCCAAAATAATATCCACGCCAACTCCCTCTCTTCTTGCCTCCTCCTCATTCTTCATGTCTCAGCTCAAGTGTCCTTTCTTAGAGACACCCCCCAACGCACACACCATTTCCTTTGTAGTATATTATTTACCCTCCTATACCCACCCTTCCACCTACAACTCAGTTCCTTCCATGAAAGCAGGAACTGTGTCTAGTTGTTTGCAACTACATGTCCAGTTGAATGAAGGAATGAGTAATTGAAAAAGAAAATATTCTCTCCCTTAACTCTAGAGAACAAACAGAGGGTCACCCCAGGGGGGTGGGGGGAGGAATGGGTGAAATAGGGGATGAGGATTAAGAGGACACTTACCATGATGAGCACGGAGCAATGTCTAGAATTGTCACTATATACACCTGAAACTAATATAATAATACTGTATGTTAACTACACTGGAATTAAGATTAAAAACCTAATAAAAATATAATTAAAAATTTTTTTTGTTCTCAATTCAGATCACCTAAGGAAGAGTTTCTTAAATAGCTACCGAGGGGCCCTGGCTGTTCTTTTCGGAAGCAGATACAATTTTCCCTGTGTACAGACAACTAGCAAGTAACTGCGGTTTTAGAGACTCTAACCAGGCCCTCCCTTCCGTGGAAACACTTCCTATTGCTTCTGGGACTGCTTTCCACAGCCCAGGGAAGCGGGCAGGGGACGTGGGGCGGCAGGCTGCTGTGGACCTAGGACTAATGTGTGCCTTGCTCCCCGTGTTAGATTTTGTAATTCATTCCCCATGAAAACAGAGGGCAGAGTGGAGATTGTTCTGTTACAGAAAGGTTTGGGGGCCAGCTTAGGAAAGCCAAATATCATTTCGATTTAGAACATAAGGGGGCGCCTGGAAATAAAGTGCTTCTGAAATTGGCCGCAAATTATCTTCTATTTTCGATGAAGCGGTACTGTAGAGATTCTTTTTTAAATGCTCATATTTTGGGGTGCCTGGGTGGCTCAGTGGGTTAAGCGTCTGCCTTCGGCTCAGGTCATGATCTCAGGGTCCTGGGGTCAAGCCCCGCATCGGGCTCCCTGCTCAGCGGGAAGCCTGCTTCTCCCTCCCCCTCTGCCTCTGCTTCTGTTCCCTCTCCCAAATCTCTCTCTCTCCCCCTAATAAATAAATAAAATCTTTTTTAAAAAAAGATTTACAACATCAGTTTATGGGGAAGAATGTGTTCCAAATACCAAACAAACAACAAAAAACCTCTCTCAGAACAAAAACTTTCTAAGTGCAAGTTGCCTGTTTTGTGTTTCATGTGAATTCAAATATATGGTGACTCATCACCGGCCACACCTTCCCTGACTTCTCATCTTAGGTCCTGGTGAGCATGCGTTGGACAACAATGGGAACGCCTATGAGATAGTTCATTCAGCCGGGGGTTGTATTTACTTGTGTTTAAGTAGAGCCAGGAAACATTTATGCCCCTGTCCATATTTCAGAAGGAATTTCCCATTCATTCCCCAGAAAGGAGCAATCAGGAGCCACACCTCCAGGTGCCTCCCCAGCTCGGGTCTTCCTCCCTCCCCAAGAGGAGGAGTAATGACCGACCTGATTGGTGAGACAGGAGAGCATGTCCTTCCCTGGGCCCCCTTATTCAAGGGGGTTGGGCTGCTGCATTGAAAGCAAGGCCTCTT